GAGAAACGCGCCGCTGGGGTATCTCTCTGTTTGGTTTTTCCAGCGGGGGTGAGAAGGACAGGCGACGAGCGTGGAGGGCGAAAGGGAGAGAGCAACTGCATCGGTTGCACGCGGCTTTTGTGCAACCGGGATGCGCCACGCTACCGAGCACTTCCTGCATTGTGCCTCGGGACGACGACGCGTGGTCGAATTTTTATTTTATTCCGCGCGGGACAGAGAGGTCAATGCTTGACGCTTTAATTAGAAAAGAAGCTGCACAGGGGAGGTGTTTCTTACTCTGATGCACGCTCGTTGCGAGGTCCTTTCCTTTTTTTTTTTTTTCGGTGGACGCGAATGGCAACGCGAAATCTGCTGACCTAGTGATACCAACTAAAATTGTTTCGTGGCAAAATCAGAGAAATGAAATGAAAATGTCAACTTTCTTATGAAATCGGGGTAAAAAGGTGATATACTAGTACAGAAAAGAATTTCTACGAATTTCGTAGGAAATTTAAAAATGCAAGCATAGTATATTGCTTTTTCTTTGTTTGGAATCTATCTTTATCTATTATTAATCGAGTCAAATTAACATAGGACTCGATCAAATATTACTCGTTTCTTAAAATACCACTGCAGATCTATCTGTTGCAGCAGCTTTTCATTTCACAGTAAACTTAGAGTCATGTAATGTGTTTTCTCAGTAGCGAACAACTAACCAAACGTATAATCACACCTGATTTCGAAGCGTGAATTTTCTCGGTGAATTTTCACGGCAATTTCCCGCAATTCACGTGTGTCCAGAGATATCTTTCCTGCTTAAACGAATGTGTAACGTCATACTGTTTGCACTGTTCCGCAAAGTTGTAAATCCTTTCATCTGCACGCGCAAACGGCGAACGTTGTGCACATATATATCGCTCTGTCTTCTTCGCTTCCTCTTCTCCTCCTGACGAAGAACGATTACACCTTTATGGTTTTACAACTGGAGGGGGAGCGAATTCTTTTTATCTGCGAGTGGATTCGATTGGACGGGGAAGGTCCGCCTGTCCCCTTCGAAATTCGCTTTATCGTCGCTTCCCTCCGCGTATGTACACTTATTTCGTGCTCGGTGGAACATCGGTGGAACGTCGAAGGAAAGCAGTTTGCTTACTCGATAAGAGGCAAAGAATTTCTTGTAAAATTTCCTCCCCCTTAGCGAAACGCGTTGCGTAATTTAGAACTCGCGTTGCGCCGCAAACACGGGTCTTACCAAGCGAGGTGTCGTTCTAAAATTTCTTCCAGCGATTTGTATCTCTGACGTGAAAACGAGGACTTCATTTTCGTTTCGTTCGCGATGGTAGACTCACTGTAGAATTCTTTTTCACGTTGCACTGCGTGTACGAGAGCACTTCGTCGATCCTTGCAGCTTGTAAAATTTTCTCGACATTTTAGTATCTCAACATGGGAATAGAAATTAAATTACCAGTTTCTTTTGCCAGTTTGCGGCAGTTCTGCTTCATAGTTGAAAGTGCCTTTAAATTAGAAGTCTCTCTTTTTCTCCTTATTCACCAACACCGTTGACCTAGATCCTGGTAAATCTAGATTCTTTCTCGTTCTGGTATTTAAATCGTCATTATGGCATTTAGTGGACGGAACAAATTCGTAGATATGAAACCGTAGAAATAGCACGAATATCTGTAGTATAATCATCTTAATAACCCTCGTGCAGCGGATGATATTAAACTGGCACATCGTGGCCGAATTGGATTCGATTCGATAGCGTGTCCCTTTTCCTAGTATACTATATCGTTTATTTAATACAATTATTTTATATTATTACATTAACTAACTTAATTCTAATGTAATTATGTGTAATAATTGATGGAGGAATATATTTAAAAACATTGCTGTCACATATTTACTGCATTTCCAAATTTTCATATTGAACCTTCGTTTCCTCAAACATTTTAACTTACTTTAAAATATCAGATATAATTCGAAGAGAAAAATAAGTATTATCAACATTATTACAATATTCTTCCAACAGAGATCTCTCAAAGAGACACCGCGTCAAAAATCATTCCCAAAAATTTCTGCCCCCGTCCGATATTCAGATGCCGCGTGCTTAAACGCGGCGCCCAATTACCAAATTAATTAAATGCATCGAGCGTGTCCGCGTGAACGGTGGCTGAATCATCCCCGTGGCCCGAAAATCCGACCGAACAATAACACTTGCTCTGTCGGCTGTCATCCGGGGGTTGACGAGGCCGCACCTAGAGCCGAGCGTGCCGCCTGGCTGCGATGCTGTCAGTCAGGGATCAGCGGACCGTAAGGAGAGCCCATTGTGAGCGAAAGTATAACAGAGAAATGGAATCGGGGCTGTCGCGGACCGATCGAGGGTCAAACGAGAGTCCTGGCCGTGTCCGCGGCTATGGGGGTTGCTCGTCCTGATTGGACGTCAGCCAGGAGGACGCGTCGCACCATCCGAACAGAGAATATGCTTTGACTGGAAATTAATTCGAGTGGTATCCGGGCTGAGACGGGACGATCCTGAAAGTCGGCCGGATTGGTGGATCGTTCGGTGGTCGAGATTGTCGAACGTCACTGTTGGATTGATTGGTATATTGGACGCGAGGGAAGTTGAAGGATAAGTGAGTTAAGGAAGCGTTCGTTGTTGGTAAAACTTTACGTTTTAACTGACAATTAGGTGGATTTTAGATGGAATTTTATAATTTAGGTTAGGTTTAGGTTAGGTTTCACGTTTCAAGTTAAGTGGAATTCAAGTTGAACTTTATGTTTAAAGTCAAGCGCAATTTAATGCTGCTAAGCTACTTTAATGTAACAGCATTGCTGTTAAATTGTTGAAAAAGAGTACTGTTGATAATAAGAAAAATGGTAATAATTAGATTGAAATTAATTAAATAACACTATTGAAATGATTGGTACACTGGGGGTGAGAGATTGGAGAACATATTAGTCTAAGGGGGTAATGATTTGAAAAATTACATGTTTTATGAAGAACTGAGGACTAAATGTTATATGTTTCATTTTATTGGAATGATTTTATGTTCGAAATAAATATTGATAATAATTGCAAGAAAGTGCAAAATTGAAAAAAGTTGAAGAATATGTAATTTAACTATGAAATTGATCTATGAATGCACTTGGTACATTTTTGGATTACTTTGCTCTGTAGATTTATATAAGTCGTTGTGGATACTAACTTAGTACTGCCAGATTGTAAAAAAATTTTGATAATAATTTAAAAAAAAAGAAATCGAGAATCACAATAGATAAGTAGAACGTAAATTGAAGAAGAGTTGAAGCCGTGATAAGATTGGCGACTTTCTTGATCGTGAACCGTGACCTGCACAGCCACTCGAAATCTCGAATGCAAATTTGACAATTGTGAAATGCTAACAAAATTATTAAAAATAAGAGGTTCCATGGTGTAATGGTAAGCACTCTGGACTTTGAATCCAGCGATCCGAGTTCAAGTCTCGGTGGAACCTACATTTTTGCGTTTATTCTTGCTGCAACTTATTATAAAATTGAGCAAACATTTGAATAACAATAATAATGAAAAGTTAATTAAGCAAGAGGTTCCATGGTGTAATGGTAAGCACTTTGGACTTTGAATCCAACGATCCGAGTTCGAGTCTCGGTGGAACCTATTTTTTTTTTGCAAATTTCTGGTTTCCTACGTCAAATAATTTGTCTCGTATTAAACAACCCCCTGAAAATTGTCAAACACATAAAAAACCAGTGAGAGCAAGTGGTTCCATGGTGTAATGGTTAGCACTCTGGACTCTGAATCCAGCGATCCGAGTTCAAATCTCGGTGGAACCTTTGCTTCTTTTTTACATTTTGGAAAGTTTAAACAATAAATTAACAATTTTTAAAGCCAACGAATCATTCTCAGGTTCTGTTTGTACATAATAATTTTTGGAACTTTTGCTGTTAAGTTATTGGGAATTTATAAAACAACCTTACTAAACCTTATATCATATTATGTAATTTATTAAATTTTTGTAAACAAATTATATCAAAATAAAAATATAAGTTTTATGAAATAAAATTTTGACGTTGGTAACTATTTCAATATTGAGTTGAAAACAACACTCGAATCATCATTCTCAGTTTCAGGAATTGAGTTTTGTATAAAAAAACAAAATAGGATATTTTATAAAATTACCGATATATTAAATAAAAATTTCAATACGACGTAATAATAAAAAATCGATTGCATGTAAGGTTCCATGGTGTAATGGTTAGCACTCTGGACTTTGAATCCAGCGATCCGAGTTCAAATCTCGGTGGAACCTAAAAAAATTTTTTTAATTGCATCTTATAAATGCATGATATATCTTTACCAATCAAAAATATGTGTAACGGATTGTTAACTAATTGATTCCATGGTGCGATAGTTAACAGCCTGGACCTTGAATCTAGCGATCCGAATTCAAATCTCGGTGGAACCTGAAAAAGTTCTTTTTTCTCTAATCGTTCTTATTGTAATTATAGAAACTTCTGTGACAGCGATAGGGGTGGGAAAAACTACCCCTTTCAAGTGGTCCCATGGTGTAATGGTTAGCACTCTGGACTCTGAATCCAGCGATCCGAGTTCAAATCTCGGTGGGACCTGTTTCTTCTTTTGCAATCATTCTCTTTTTATCATTAGAAGAGAAGTCACTGTTAATTCTTCGAATTGAACAATGTTTCGTGAATATTTTCCATCATTTTTTCGAGTGATTTCAATAGAAAAAATATTAAAACTTTCGTTCGAATTCCGCTCAGTAAATATTTGTAATCGACCTACGATTTAATTTATGAATTTTATCGTTGTCTTCGTCAACCTTTTAGTTTACAGTCGTCACATAAAATTCATGACCATAAAAATCTCCTTGCACAAAATTGTACGATGCCTCTAACAAATTATTAACGACTTCAAAATATATATTTATTAAAAAAACACCGGAGAAGAATATTATCTATAATTAAATATTTCATTGAAAGTTGCAATCGACGAAATAAAAAAGAATTCCTTCGAGCCGGATTCGAACCAGCGACCTATGGATACCTGATTTCTTTGCTTCCCAACTACAGTCCACCGCTCTACCAACTGAGCTATCGAAGGGATTTGAGAAACGGTTCTTATTTTCAGCATATATTCCACTGCATCTCTTCATAATTATTAATTTTCAATAAATTATTCACCAACTCGAGAATATAGTAATAACATTTACTCGACTGAAAATTTTCGGCAACAAAGAACCATATTAACCAATATTTTTGTACAAACTGCTACATCTTATTAATCGCGTGAAGCGAAAGTGAAATTAGGTCAAACGAAGCTTCCTGTATGTAGAAACACCTGACCAATGTCACGAACGAAGAACATTTCGTCATGCTCAGACCTTCGTGTGCAGTTCAAACTTCACAGTGTATTACTCCCTCGGTATATTCCACCCCTAATTCGCAACTACCAGGGGATATCGAGCTGAATAAATTGTACTTGCCCTCTAATAACTTCATTCAATTAAATGTCCATAATCCGCACAGCTTGAACTGCACTTAACCTAAAAGAAGCTTTGCTCTTGGCGTGTTTTTCTTACACGAATCTATACTTTCGCACTTTGACAAATTGAATAAATTGCTCAATCGTCTTTTGACAATTTTGTTCAACCAAGTTCACTTTTGAATTTTTCTTAATATAAATATAAATTAATATCTTCCTCGCTTCATCTTGAAATTCCCGACTGTCACGAAGCAGTTTGAAGCTGATTGTGAGTATAAATTAGACAGATCCTCCAAAATTCTTAATCACTCGAAAATAAATAAACTGAACGAATTCGTTCGATTGAAACAACTTCTCAACTGTTATTAAGAAATATCAAATTACTCGATTATTACTATCTAATTCCTTCATTAAACAAAAACGAACGCGATTTTAACAATCGCCAAGACCTTCGTTTCTGCCTCTTTCTTCGCCAAATATCACCTATCAACGACGTCGAGAGTTCCATCTACGCCAAGAAGCAGGACAACGCGAAGGAACCCGAGGCGTATGATCGCTGACAACGCGTTCCATCGTGCCGTGATCCAGTTATCACTTATTTACGATGTCTCGAGGCGGCGGACGAAAAAGAATTGCGTGTCAAAGCCGGCCGAGACTGAACGTCGTGAAAATTTTATAACCCCGTGGAAATCCTCTCTCTATCTCGTGCTGCACGCCAATCACCATCAAGCCATCGTACAGCGCCGCGTGTTTCATGGCCCGATACAGTTTGCATAAAACTATAAAATTATGACCGTACACCGAAAACCCCACCGACCGTGAGGTGGAAGTACGGAGGATCAAGTGGGAAACGTGGAACGGAAGCGACGAGATGCGGAACACGGATGAAAGTGGAGAGAAGAGGAGAAGGGGGGGTGGTGGGAGGTGGGAGGAGGGGGAGGAGGAGGCTATATCGTAAAGTCGATGGGATATTTTTACATGAAGTCATTAAACCGGGTTTACTGCGAAACAAAGTGCCTCGACGTCTATTCGTGTCCTTCGCCTCCTGTTCGCCAGCGACGCTGTTCCTCGGCGTCGCTTAATTACTCCTCATCGTCGAATTAAGGAGCTAGATCGCGTTCTGCTTTAACGAGAGACGAATGTTTAATGAAGGATTCTCCCGTGGGCCTCGTATTTGCAGAGACAGTTCTCACGGTGTAAAGGAGATTGCTGTAACGCTGCGAAACGTATTTTTCCTCCTCGGCGAACCGTAGGATTTTCAATTAGCCGGGAATTTAGGAAAGAAAGCGTAGGCTTTTGTGTATCAAGTGGGTTATTCGGGATTACTTTGTTTCCTCTTCGCACTCTTCTAGCGTATTAATTAATTAACTATTTACTTACTAATTAGTAGGTAATTTCGTACTTTGACATTATTTCTTTTTTTAATTTCATCGCAAAATAGTAATTTTGTATATTGATGCTATTTTACCAATTTGATGTATCTCCCTTTAGATTTTTATTATATTATGAGTTCAAAAACTCTAATCTAAATTTGATCTGATAATAGTGTTAGTTATTTAATTAATTTGATAAGAGTGATTTCGAGATTAGACTTCTAGATAATATAGAATTCACTGTAGAAATATTGAACGCAGTATCGCGTATAAAATTCTGATAGGAGGATTTTCTGAGATAGGATTTTTTATTTTATCTGAAAATAAAAAATTCATCTGGAAATGATTCGCATATTTTCTCTCGTATCGAACTTGTATATATTTATTATTTAGAATTCGGATCTACAGCAGACTGAATAATAATTTTAGTTGCTTAATTACTTGGATGAAACTCGAGGTAATTTAAAAAATCAGACGTTTAGGTAACGCACAATCTAAAAATTTGAAAGCCACTTGTTTTAAAAATAATTGAAAATAAACGTTCCAATAAACTACTTACGTCAAAATCAAAATTTTAAAACTATTTATCCAATTCTAGATATCCAATTTCTATGTCGCTCAATACTAAAAAAGACCAAATAAAAATACTAGAGTGTGTTCAGAAAACGAAACTAAGTTCTAAATGAAGGCTAATAAATAAATAAATAAAAAAAGAACGTGAATTCGAATCAGAACAATCTTGCAAGTATACGAAAAATCCAGGTCCTCGTAAAACTTCCAATTTCGCTGCCACGTGATTTCTCAGCGGAAACGAAGCAAGTAGATTCTTTCAGGTCATGGTCAGACACAAAGAATCAAGCGCTTCTTCGATTCGTTGGCTTTTGATTCTGGATCTCGGTCAGACGTCTCCACGATTGACCTGGAAGCAACGAATTCGGCGATTTAGACGAAACTGTATCGCCGACGTGGCGAATTTTTGTTCGCGTTGAACGAAAACGAAGAAGATCGAGGTCGAGCTTATCAAATCCGCGGCATGCAATCGGGGATGTTTCTTTAATAAAATCTCTCATCTAACTGATAACATTTCCAGATATTTCGTACTCGATCTTTTCGTTGTTCTTCGTTACTAAGGAAAGAGATTCTTAACCCAGTTTTCGAAAAATCCAGATCTATGTAAAGTCGGGGGGTTTCATTAAATAGAGAGCAACAAATGGCTTACGCGGCTATAAAAGTATGGAAATGGAAAATAGCAAGTTTTCAGGAATTGAATGTAAGATTTTAAGAAAGTAAGTATTAAATTGAATATTTGTGTTAAATTGATTGCACGATACGTATAATGTATAATGTAATCTTTAACATGTAATGTATATCGTAATTGTAAATGTACGATATATTGTTGAATTATTTCTTTTGATGATAAAATTTTTCAGATGGTTTGCAAAATAAATAGCTCAGAACCAATTAAACGATTGTTCGTCAAGAAAAGTTTTGTAAAAAAAGTTCAACTATTTTTCAATATGTAAAACAATATTTTATTAAGTGAATAATCCTTGACTGAACTTTGAAAATTATCACTAGACTTTTATACAGACTTTTATAGATTATCGATTATCACTATAGATTTGTAGATTATCACTAGACTTTTATAGATTGCAAAACAGTACAAATTGTTATTCTAACTATTCCATTACTTGGTAAGAAATATTACGCAGAATTGCATAAGTATTGTACACAGTCCAATCACACCGTACTACCAACAAAACTACGACCATTTACTTATTCCTTAAACGCAATTTCTCATCTAGAAACTCCATCTTTCCCAACCCATTAAAAATTACTATTAACAAACCATCGTGCGCATTATATATCCCTCTCACCCCTCAAGAAGCTGCTCGCAAAACCATTTCGTTTACAACTCAATTTCCTCCTGCCGTGCCTTCTCCCCTTCGCCCGGTCTACTTGCAAACATCCGCGTTTTAAACGTTCGCTCATCAGAAGCATCCACTCCGTGCATACATTAAAATCCACCTTAAACACGGTGGAACGTGGATGAGAGAGGGAACGGCGAAACGAGAGATCGTATAGAGGGATCGACGTTGTTAAAACGCCGCGTAGACAAACAATTTTTAAGGGGCAGTTAAATCGCGACATTGTGCGCTCCTCGGTGGTAATCATTCGATACGGGGGAGGGGGAGGGGGGGGGGCTATTTCCGGGCCATCCGGCGGGATACGTTTTACGAACGAGCTCCCGGGCTCCTAGGCTTTTCCACTCGTATAAAAAATTTCGCGTCTTACTTAAACGTTCCCCAAAGCCCGGGTTCGTTTGCAGCTCCCCAAAACGGCACGTTCTCGAGAGGGAGGACGTCTAATATCGTTCCTTTTTTTTACGATATAAGTTGAAGGGTGTGCCGGAGGAATCCGCGAAGGGTTAGGTTCGTCGAGACGAAGAAAAGCGTTTCGAATGAAACGGATTATAATTGACGCGACGGCCATAATAAATCTCGAGGATTTGGGGGTGCTACGGTGAAACCGGGGAAATTGGCCCGCGACTATTAAAAACACGCAAAGTTCTCTTAACCCGCGATGTCGATGTCTTCTTCCAATTTTCTCTCGCGAGGTGGTCTTACTCGGTTCAATTGCAAGTGTAATTTTTGGATACTTAACTACTCTACTATCTGTGCTTTAATTTTTTAACTACGCAAGTAAGCTGAAGCAGTTTCTGCGCCAAACTGCGCAATATAGTATTGCGTTAAATTTTAATTATTCATTCGTGCTGTAATTTTCTTTAATGTCTAAAGTAACAATACGTATAATAAGGAATTGTTCATTCTTACTATATTTCTATTACAGTTATAACAAATAATAAATTCGAATAGAAATTACAAAAATTGGAAGCTGTAAGGTGCATCAATCTCTTTTAATGCGACCTTTAAACCTTACTGAATCAATTATTATACTATAAATTTCTATTTAAACAATGTATGAAACATTTAAGATAGATATAATGCTCTCTGCAACATTTAATAAATGAAGCAATTTTTTATTTTCGTTGATATCAGAGAGTATCAATTAATCATACAATCGTAGCAATATTATAAATCCTCGTACATTTCACCGAACACGAGCCGATTCAGCTGCGAATTTAGAGAAGACCTCAGCGTCAGTGAGCGGTTGGTTTTTATCAGCGTCGCGTTAACTGATCGACATCTTCGACCGATCGTCGCACGCTCGGGGGGGTAAGGCGCG